CAACATGTTGAGCTGGGTCGGAGCAGTCCTGGGATGGCAGACTGACCCCTTGGACCTCCTGTCAGCCAGGCTGCTCAAACACAGCACCCAGGAGCAATAAACTCTAGCGTGAACTGGACCAAAGTTTATTCATGCATATTAATTGCATGCATAGACACACCCTGTGTAATTAACTTTGCTGCTGAATAAAAATCTGTAAGCTTATTTATGTGAGTAAAATTATAAACATGTAAGCTTTTGCAGTATCTGGCATTAATGTATACATGTGACTGCAGATGGAAACTGAGACCTGTTTTTTGTAAATGACCATGTTGCTCATTTCTTGCATAATACAGTCACATCTACTGTTCTAGATGCTGACTTTGTGCAGCCTCACTGTGGATCCTGCTCCATTTGAAACTGTGGTGAAATAAGAAAACAAGATATTTGGCTGAATATGGAGTGGGAGAGAAATTAATATGGAAAATATTATGCTGCCTTTGTATAAACTCCATGGCACAGTGTCATATGGAATACTATATGTAGCCCTGGTTTCAGATAGACTAATGGTCATGAAAAGTTCTTGCGTGAAGAGATTTAAATGATTGGGGCTGCACCTTACAAAGGAAATGAAGATGATGCTATATAATATCTCTGTAAAATAATAAATGGCATTGAAATTTTGTTTACCCTGTCTCATTACATGAAGGAATTGAATACCAAGTAGAATTAAAAGCTGACATCCAGAACAGATACACTAAAACACTTTTCACATATTGTGTGATTAAATTCTGGAAATCATTACTACAGGAAGTCGCCAAGGTTTTGCTACATTGAAGAAGACTCTTAATACAAGGCATTTTCCCTGTATAACAGCATTTCTATGCTGTAATCAATTCATTTCTTAGTCGTCTTTTAGATAAGCTAAACAGATAGAGCTCTGTCAAGTCCAAGGTGTTTTCTCTCTCCAGCTTGCAAATAAGTTCTATGGTCCTTTTCTTCTCACACTTCATTTTTCATCATCTTTTTAAAATGTAGGCAAAAGAACTGGACACAGGATTCTGGAATTGGTCTCACTAAGGACATATAGGGCATGTCTACACAAGATGCTATGTCACCGTAGCAATGAGCTATGCTAACTGTAGCTTGTCACTACAGCAATGTAGCATCGGTAGGCACTAACCGTGACACAACACTGGGGACTACACAGTAGGGCTGTGCGAAGCTTCAGATTCGCTGATTTGATTCAGCAGAGATTCGGCCCAATTCAGCAGCTGAATCTCCAATTCCAAATCAAATCAGAAGACCCTTTCATCTCTCCAAATCGAATCAGAACCCTCCGAATCGATTTGGAAAGATTTGACGATTCAGATATAGACACAGCTTTAAATGTTTTTTCTATATACCTCAAGGTACCAGGTGGCTCATGAATGCTGAGATGGTGGGGCAGATAGAGCATCCCACGGGAGCAGTGGAGGGTCCCCAGCGCTCTCAGCAGCGGATCCAGAATTGGACCAGAAGCACTGCTGGTCCACTTCTGGGTTTGCCAGAGAGCGCAGGGAGGCCCCCCCGCCAGCCCCCGCCCCTGGCCCCCTGAATCAGCAACTGGTACCTCCTGGGTCTGGATGCTCCATGTGCCCTACCATCACAGCATTCATGAGCTGCACCTAGTACCCTAAGGCATGTAGAAAAAACATTTAAATCTCTGTCTATGGCCAAATCACTGATTCTCCGACTCAGCATTGAATCTTCAATTTGGCCATATCCAAATACAAATCGGGACAGTGATCTGAATCAACGAATTCAATCACTTTCCCCAATTCAGGCTGACTCCCAGGAGGCATCACCTGGCTTCTCACATCTGGCAGGCAGATCAGGGGCTTGCACCCCCGAGAGGACTCTGGCACAGCCCCCACAGCCCTCCCAGGGGTGTGGGCAACCCTCCAATCTGCTTGCCAGATGACAGGAGGCTGCTGCTTCTGGCTGGGACTGGCGCTGAAGCCAGTAAACCTGGCTTTGAAACTCAAAACATTTCAAAACTTTCGAATCATTTTGAGTTCCCTTGTTTCATTTTGAAGCTATTTTGCAGGCTTTTGTTTCATTTCAATTTCACTGTTTCAAGCTCAAAACATATTGAAACAGGTTCAAAATGAAACACTGGGTGAAATTTCGCACAGCCCTACTGTGCAGTAGTGCAAGTGTAGAGGCCTGAACAAGAGCAAATGTGGTCCTGGTCAGCTGGGCAGCAAGGGGTGGTAGATTGTTCCCTGCCCCCGAGAGCTGCCTGCTGCTGGGGCAGGCTGTGCCACCAGAGCACAGGAGGGGACAATGTCCTCCTACCTTGGCAGCAGGGAGCTCCCAGCCCCCCCCTTGCAATTGCAGCACTGGAGCTGAAAGATCCTTACCTCACTGGGGGATGGATCTCTGAGGTCCCTTCCAGCCCCTTACTTCTATGAAACTATAAATCTCCCAGTACCAGTTCTGCAGTCATTGGGCCAGCGCTGGAAATTAAGTATCTCCCAGCCTGGGCCCTGCAATTGTAGAGCAAGGGCTGAGAGCTCCCCACTGCCAGGGCAAGGGGACACTGTCCCTTTCCGCTCTGCTCTCAGGCGCAGGAAACAATGTCCCAGGCCCCTCCAGAGAAAGCAGTCTCTTGACCCCTGGTCTAGCACCCTAGAGCTCCCCCTGGCTGCTATAGGGGCCCATTGCAGGCCTGGTAGTTGCCTGATGCTGGGGCAGTCTCCGCCACTGGAGCCTGGGTATGGACAACGTACTCCTGCTCCAGCAGCAGGGAGATCCCAGCCCACAGTCCACGATCCCAGGGACGAAACTGGGAGATCCTTCTTTTCCAGTGCTAGCCCCATAACCATGGAGCTGGCACTGGGAGATAAGGATATCCCAGCCCGGGGACCTGTGATAATGGACTTGGGCTGGGAGACAAGGATCTCCCAGCCTGGGCCCAGAGATCACAGAGTTGGGGCTGGGAGCTCCCTGCTGCCAGGGCAGGGGGACATTGTCCCCACCTAGGCTCCAGTGGCAGAGCCCACTTGGGCAGCAGGCAACTCCCAGGGGTAGGGAGCAATGTCCCAACCCTGCCAGGAGACAGCCGACTCGTGGCCCCTGAACTAGCACCCAGAGGGAGCCTACAGCTACCCCTGGCTGCTGCAAGGGCCCATCGCAGGGCTGCAGGGAGCAGGGGCAGTTGGCTGCTAGGAGCAGCAAATCTGCTTCTGCATCCCTGCTCATGTAGACACATACCCGTGAGAGTTTATTCAAAAGTAAACTGATTCCAAATTATTTGCATGCGTAGATGTGCCCTGTATTATGACATTAAAGAAATATAATCAAAGAGACTTTCTTCACTAAACAAAAAAGTGTACTTAACTACAAGCAGCTAATTGCTTCCAGGTTGGCTGATCTCGTACGGCGAGCTTTAAACT